CACAAAACATATTTGTGGAAAAAATGTATCAGAAATGTAATTTTATGCCATTGAATTCTATAACATGGTTTCATGTATACATTTGGCTTGACGATTTAAATTGTTTGCTCAGCTATCTCACAAAAAATTGTTTAATGATTTAAAATTGAGAAAAAATATTTTCAATAATCGTGAGCGATATTAGTAGTTTTGAAAATATTGCAATTTAATTGAGAAATGTAATAAGTTCATATTATTGTGTAGAAAACTGAATTTTCGTACAACTAGTAATTGTTATAATAGTTTAATATTAAATATCATTCGTGAAATAATTAGGGATGTAGGAAAAAATCACATGCTATTTTGTTTTTTAATAATATTTATTTATGTAGTGATATTATAAATGAAGTAGGAATTGTAATAACATATTTATTAATGAAAAATTTAGCCTATTATAAAAACATTTTTTTTTCATACGACACATGAAAATACTGAGATGCTAATTTTAAGAAAACAGTTCACAAATAAATCGTTTCGTTCTCTTTGGGTTATTAGGTCGGAAAAAGAGAGCTTTGCAATTAATGCAAGTCTCTGTTTTTTATCGGTATATCTTTTCATCTGTTTTTCAATTTGATTTAAGTTAAAATTCAACCACCTTTGACAGGTTTTAATTTTTTTCTTGACCCTACAATGCTTACGAAATAATGTCATTTAGTCCATTAGATAAGTATGTCATTTTGTCAGAAGTTGAATAATTAATGAAAAAATAATGAAAATTGATCACAAAATATCTACAATTGGCATAAGTTGATTGAATTTTATTAAAATATTCGAGAATTTTAATATTACTATCAATAGCCCCCCCCAAAAAACATGAGAAAACTACCTTCAACATGAACTTTTGAATGCGAGATACACGTTTGAAATGATTATTGCGACAATACTGTGGCAATGACGCTAAACATCTGACAGCATTGGCTTCTTAATGTTGTACAGTTGCGGAAAAAATATTAAAACTAGCCAATTTTGTCCATATATACCATTCTGCTCGTATTTCCACTATTAGTTATTATAAAAGATAGTTATTTAAAGGTCTCAATTGCTTTTATTATTACGACCTACGTTCAAGCGAAATGCGGAACTTTATAATAAAATGTAAAAATAAATGATTGGATTTATCGTATAAAATAACAAGAAATTTTAACGTGAGATAACTGAAACAATAAACTGCAACGCGAAGGAAGATCGTAGAGTAAAGATCGTAAATACTGAATACACACACAGGTGTATTTTATTAGAAAATCAATTTTCATCTTTCCAAAGTAGTTGCGGTTGAATGAAAATTGAGTAAAGCTTTCAGTTACATAAAATATAATATATTCGATTGTTTGGAAAGTAACTACGTTTTTTATAGACATTTTGGCACGTAATTTTTGTACGATAAACAAATACTTTAATAAATTATATATTGGCTCTTTTGATCGAACATATTGTCATATTTCTGGTGTTAGCATAATTCCGAGATCATAATTTTTTTTGGTCGTAATTGGCAAAAAACTGATCAAAGTGCTTTTCGACCTCCTCCTTTGAGTTAAGGGTTTTACCGCCTAAAAATTTTTTATGACCGAAACGAATAATGATCGATTGATGGGCGCTGGTCTGGAGAATGATGATGAATGATGAATTATGAATGTGCACTATGCTCCAATCAAGCTGTAAAAGCTGTTGGCGATGCACCAAACTTATATGATCTCCTGCTTCCTCATGATTCAGTACTATACCTTGTTTGTGGGTTAATTCTGACCTTTTCTATTGAAGTACATCATTGGTTTATCCAGCTGATGATATAAGGCATTACCATTAACCGTTATGTTGTTTTGAAAAGCTGAAAAACGAAGAGCTCCTTTAAAATCTCACCAAACATACTGCATCACATTTTTTTGGCTAATTTCAGCTTTGCAACTGTTTTGAACAGGTTTTTTTTTGTTTCATGGGCAATTGCGTGTATTGCATTTTTTACATCCCACTTGACATTTATAGTAACAATTTTCCTCAAAACCTGAACATTTTTAGGACTTTTCAGAGGCGAAAAGCGGACGCTAGTGCGAAGACACATATTTTTTTGTGTATGAGAACCATACATTGAGCTTTGTGGAAAATTCCAATCCTTTTAAGTGGTCATAAACTGTTAAATTTGATAAATTTAAACACAAGGGCATCTTATGTATTGTTAGTCGCCGGTTTGCATCAACTAATGCCTTTCTCGTGGTTTTATCAGTTTCAACCGTGTTTCTTAGACTTGGTGCTCTTGGACATCAAAATACCAGGAACAAAATTTAGCAAATCAGTTTAGGTACTGTTGTACTATTAATACGTCATTTCCATACACATCGATCAATTTCATTTTGATTTAAACAGTATTTTTACCTTTTATATAGCAAAAGAGTAAAATATGTCGTACATGCTGCTTAATTCTTTTCGTATTCAAAGTGGCATCTTTCAAAAACTACAGCGTGTAATTGATTAGTGTTTTTTACACATAAACCTTGTAGTATAAGCTTTCAAATCATATAATAATTATAGGTCTTAAGTTTGATTTTAGGTTTAAAAAAAGTTAAATTAAATCCGAGGTGGTAAAAAAAAACGAAGTCTTTCCGAATAACCTGATAGTATAAAATACATATTCACGCAACTATATCATGTTTTGAGGGGGATACGTGCTGATTAGTTTTTGGCAAAGCAGGTTTAGCACGCACCATCGGAGTAAATACAATTTAAGGTTTTTTGGAGACGCTAGACAAAATCTGAAATTCATGACAATACAATATTGTATAGCGATTTTTGTGTCTCAAGTTCCATCGATTCTGCGCGTTAAATTTTTTTTTCTTCAGTACTCTGATCTTGCACGTTAGAAATGACGCAACATAGGAGTAAATACAATTTGGGGCCTTTTGGAGACGAAAGGGCGGTGGTATAAAATCTGAAATTCTTAACTATGATACGTTATAATTAATAACTATAAACTTAAAGAAGGTGGGTTCAAAATCTGAAATTAAATAATTTAATATTAAATCTAATACTGAATTAGTATAAATTGATTCTGCTCGTTCAATTTACTTTTTTCCGTAGTTAATTTTCCGTAATTTTATGGCATTATATGCAACGATTATTTAGAATGATTTTTTTTACTTTAATACGGACTTGCTCTGCATTATATACCAATCTTCACAAACATCTTACATTAAAGCGGTCCAGCCTTTTTGTAGTTCTAATTTATAGTTGTCATTTTCGACTTTTTTTAACTTCCCATAGGGTAGTTATAGTAATGGGCCAAAAATCGAAAATGTTTTTCAAGTTAACTTGAAATGCATAGGTAAATTGATTTATATAGATTTATATATGTATTTTAGTAAATGTGTTAGTGTTTTAAAAAGATGTCTTTGAAATATTTAAACAACGATCAAGAAAAATTTATTGATTTATTATAGCAAAGAGGAATTTTGCAACAGATAATAATCAAGTAATTAATTTTATTTATCAAACTATGTTGTTCTAATATATTAAATTTATTTGTTCTTCATTTTAGTATACCATATTCAAGAAATCTCGTCTAAATAAATGTCAAACTATGGCATCTCTTTATTCCACAAACTTAAACAAAAAGTGGAAGGAGTTTTAGTGATGATTATCACAATGCTAATTTGTGGTATTCTTTTGAAGATTATGATTACGTTTTTATGAATTAATTTTGAAATGTGATACTAATATTATTTAAAAGTAACGAATTTTTTAATATAATAGTTTTAATATATTATAAACTAGTGGTGCATGTTATTGTGTTTTAGGCAAATTGCATAATTTCCGTACTATAATTAAAAATTTGAAAAATAAAAATAATTAATAAAAGAGAAATTTCTCTTTGAATCGAATTCACTTGGTTTTATATTTAATAACTTCTTTGTTAATTTAATAACCGATTTGAATGGTTCATAAAACATTCGATTCCTATTGATAGAAAGTTGTGCTGAATAGTTTTTGGCAAAGGTAGGTTTAGCGGTTTCAAATATATGATGCTATATGTACAAAAAATGGCAGCTTTTGAGAGAACTAAGCATCCGATTTGAAAGATTCAAAAAATTCTCTGCTTGTGTTGGCGAAACAATTACTTTTAGAAAAAAAAAATTAAAAAAAACACCAAATGAACGAACATGCTTGTCCCTTAGCACCGGACACTAAGTCGTCCCTTAGCGCCGGACAGTAAACATATTGAAATTTCTTGTGACAGTTGATGTAATTTATTTTAATTATTTGATTTTGTTCTGTATGAGTGCTAAAGGTCACTTCAGACCCCCATTTTTCGTATTTCCTAGTCAAAGAATGAAAATCCTATGATGAACGCTCCAGCTGAAAGCATCGGTGTGGCCCAGCCAAAAGGGTTCATTAATAGTGATTTCTTTTGCAATATCTAAGAATATTCGTCAGACACATATGTGCAGAAACTCCAAAGTGGCTACCTAAGTGTTCAATACTGGTTATTTTGAAATGTCCGGTACTAGGTGCCACTTTGTAAAATCATATTTTTTGTTACCAAAGTTTGATTGATAGTATTAATTATTTCTTAGTAAAGGTTGCGTTTTTGTTAATTTAGTTTGATTTCTAATTTTGTTATCTAACATAAATCATAATTTAATAAACAATTCGTAAAATATTTTTTGATTTATTTATTAATAACCTTAGGTGTCCGTCACTTGGGGACTTTCCTCTACAGTATTTATTCATAATAATCTATTTGAAAACATTTAATATTCCTCGAACATTTCGTGACGATACGGAAAGTTCCAGCAATTTGCCTTAAGGCATGATGCCATACACCACTAGTTAGTTATTGATTTTTAATTACCGTACGGAAAATTCCAGCAATTTGCCTTAGCACAATGCCATGCCCAATAGTTTACCTCTTAATGATTTATATAAAACCGTTTACAATCACCAGTTTTCACATATCTTTTTTCTATTTCCAGACCGTTGAAGACCTGGAGGCGTCCTGCAAAGAGGCCGGCGTAGAAATAGTGACTAGACAATCGTTCCTGTCCGACCCCACGGATGCGGTTCGTAATTTGCGGCGACAGGACGCCCGCGTTATAGTCGGTCTGTTTTATGTGGTGGCTGCGAGGCGAGTGCTCTGCGAAATGTACAAACAGCAACTCTACGGACGGGCTTACGTCTGGTTCTTTATAGGTGAGTGAGATTTCGTTACGGTTTTAAAGTTATAGTTATAGGCGACATTAAGGGTAATGGTCGTGATGGGGGCAGTTAAATTTCATTTGGAAACATTGAGCGCCGTTTGTTTTTATGCTGATGGTAGTTTAATCACAATGGTATTAAAGGGTGATAAACATATTTTTTTAGTTTCGAAAACTATGGGGCTAATTTTGCAGTAACATAGTCAATAACATAGCCTTGTTATGGCATGATCAGGCGTATTTTACATATAAGTAAACCAAGAAAAAAAATTTTTTTTATTATTATTAACTCTTTTATTTACAACTGTCCAGTATAGGACATTCAGTAAATTTAATGGATTTACAATAGTCCGCCGAAAAGGTACATTGTATACTACTTTGACATGTTGGAAAAAACAACTCAGTAGTTGTTTTTTCGATATAAAATTCACAATATTTACTTATTAAATAATTTCTTATAAATAATGATTAAGTTATTTCCATTTTTTTCTCAGGAGAGTTGATGGCTTAAATTCAGTGGCGCTTTTCTTTTCAACCTTTTTCGATAGTTCTCTGTTATCAATGAGTTTGCTAATGAATTTGGGTGACTGATTGGCTTGTTTCTATACTTCTGTGCTGTTTTTGTTATTACTTTATTTATGGTAGGTGTATTCGTGTCAGCATGAATCAACCAGTTAGGAACATATTTTTGAGCTCCTAAGGCAATTTTCAAAAATTTGTTTTGAAATTTCTGTATAATTTCTATATTGGTCTTATGAGCACTGCCCCACAATTGTATACCATAACACCAAATTGGTTTGAATAAAGTTTTATATAAAAGTAGCTTATTGTATGCGCTTAGTTTGGATTTAGTTCCTAGTAACCAGTAAAGCTTTTTGGTTTTTATCTCAAGCTGTTGTCTCGTTTTTTTATATGAGTTCGCCAATTAAGTTTTCTATCGAGGTATATGCCGAGATATTTCACATGGTCTTCTTGAGGTACTTGAGTATTTCCTATTCTTACTGGTGGGCAAGTCTCTCTTCTAAGTGTAAATGTGACATGTACTGACTTTAAGCCATTCATTTCAAATCTCCAGGTTTTGTTCCATTTTTCTGATAAATTTAAATGGTTTTGGAGTAACTTAGATGCAGAACTGGAATCTATGTGGCTGGCTAGAATGCACGTAGCATCAGCAAACGTAGCAATCAAAGTGTTAGTTGTTATTGGTATGTCAGATGTGTATATTAAAAATAGAATTGGCCGCTTCCTTGTGGAACACCTGAAGAAACTATCTTATTTGATGATTCAGTGTCTAAAATATTTACATAAAAAACTCCTATTTGACAGATATGATCCTTTTATTAAATATAGAGAATACGTGAACCAAGAAAGAATGTTATGATATCTGTATCTTCATGATAGACTTGAGAAATAAGAAGACATCTTATATCCCAAGTTTATCATGATTTACTTCAAATTTAAAAGAATTAGATTTTTTTTATTTCAATAAAATTAGATTTTTTAACTTCTCGTAGGGTAAGTTATTGTAATGGGCCGAAAATCGAAATTGAAAATTTTTACATTTCTCGACGGTTTGAAGGTTTCTGAACATTTTGGCATACCTCAGGAAAAATGGATGTGTGTGTGTATGTGTGTGTGTGTGTGTATGTATGGATACAAATTTTCAGTCACGTTTTCGGGCGCACGGATCAACCGATTTGAATGGCTCAAAAAACATTCGATTCCTATTGATAGGAAGAAGAGCTGATTAGTTGTTGGCAAAGGCAGGTTCAGCCGTTTCGGGAGATTCGGAGCAAAGAGTGCAGAAAATAGAAATCGAGTTAGTAATGATCGGGAGAAGTGGTTATTAGTTTTTGGCACAGGCAGGCCTAACCATTTCGGAGATACAGAGCTAAATGAGCGAAAAATGGCAGTTTTTGAGAGAACTAAGCGTCCGATTTGAATGCTTCAAAGAACTTTCAGCTTGTTTTAACAAAATAAAATTCCAAAAAAAAGTATGTTTGTATATCGAAAATAATTCAGATTTTAATCGTAATTCTGACTAAATTCTAATGTACTTTAAACAAATATGTTTAACTTTGCAATTCAGTTTATATAATTCTTATAAATATTAGACAATGTTACAATATTTATAATAATCTATTTGAAAACATAAAATTGCTCGAACATTGCGTTACGGTACGGGAAGTTCCAGCAATTTGCCTTAGGCACGATGCATACA